AACACCCGGAATGTCATATTACCCGATTGGAGCCCAGCTCTGCTGCTCGATCCGCAACGGAGGCCTTGCTTATTTTACAGTTAGCCTCTGCTGAAGGATTTGTCACCGCCGCCACTTGTCGTCTCGCTGATCACTCTGCAACTAGGCAATAAGACACGCCCCGCCCTGTTGTAGGTAAAATGATCCTAACGAATTAATACCGTTTTAAGCACGTCTCCCGCATGTCAACTCCAACACACTATTTATGCTCTTAAGAATGCAACCTTTTGGAAGCCCCAAATCTCACACCGTTCGCATTCATCTGACGCTACCGCCTATTTGCAATATTACTTGTACAGTCAGGCTACGAGTTTGTTGTTTTCGTGGTTCCTTTCTAGTTTTTAGTCCAGCCCTAAAATGTCTACTTCTAAGCCTTCAGTAGGCAGTTTATTACGCCTGGCAGCCATCTGATAGGTTCTATATTGCTTACTTAGGCAGTCCTGCTTGGGCAGTCGGCCTACTATATCGCAATTGGCAGATTCCATAGGTTGCAGTAGGCCAGGCGAGTAACTTGGCTCAAGTGTGATTAAACGCACAGCTCCCGATGGAGCCTCGCAGATCAGTTGACTAGAGCATTGGATGTACTAAAGCGCCCCCCTTGTTGTCGTGAGTTAGAATTTCACCGAGGCCACTGATTTTACCACAAATGGGTCAAGTGAATTAATTGCAAATTTACTATCTTTTTAGTTATGACATATAAGTTTGCCAGTACTTGCCGTATTGAAATATGTTGTATTCTACCCTCTATAGCCTCGCGCCAACGGTATGTGGAAGTCGAAGACACAAGTGCAGACGACGAACCGGGCGTTCAAGTGGCGTCCGTGTCTTGGGAGGACCCTACTCCACAGTCCTCCTGTGCTGTCGTTGTTGCCTGATTTATCCTCTTGATTTGGGTCTTCTTTTTTAATGACGCTATTTTTGGCAACGTTTAATTTTCGAACACTTATCAATTTCATAATTGTTTTTTTGTTCACCTTCACAATATTTGAGTTCAATCGCATCCCCCTACATTCTGAAAGACGACCCTACCTGACTCTCTTGAGTCAAGACGAAACATGCATTTCTTCCAGATGATGGTTCCGACCTTTTGATATTGAACCGGTGTTTGACAACGCCTGGGAAGTAAGATGCAATTAGAGTTGTGTTTACCTGTCAGCATCTGCTTTGGGGATGGTCTTTTCTTATGCAACCGTTCGCCAGAGTTCTAGATCAGGGTAAATCGGAACGCCCATGTACCTTGCTTCACTTGATTCGGCGAAATACCTCATCAAAATGACATGCACCTGTATACTTTTCTTTACTGGGTATGGAAAGATTGGCTCCATTATACTTTGGACCGGTCCATTTCAATCATCTGAGTCCTGTGTGAGAATACGGGCTTATAACCAAGTAAGTAACCCGGATGCTCGTGTTATTAGCAGGCTTTAACCAATATAAACCTCTGGTCGGGTTTCTAGTATGAGAAGATAGACGCCAGTAGCATATGGTATTTCATACTTAAGGGACAAAGGATATGCAGTTGTAGCAGGTCAGCTGCCGGACACGAGGCTTGTGTCTGGTGCGTCGAGGCGCGCGTCTTGAATGAGAGCATATTAGCTATGAGGTTTTATGACTGGACGTTATGCGGAGCCTTGTAGTGCTACGAAGTAGCTAGCCCTGCCCAACAATGGTAGACGAACTGTCGGTGGAACGCATTTGTAAGCATGTGCTAGGCGGAGGAACGGTGTACTAGCACTGTGGTAGTATCGCAGCTGTTGTTCTCGCCTTCAATCTTGTGGGCGTTCCAAGAAATGG